CATCAAAATTAAAAATTTTTGTGCTTCAAGGAACACTATGAAAAAAGTAAACAGACAATCCCCAGAATGGAAGAAAATATATGTAAATCATATACATATGTAAATCATGTTCCACTTAAAGACATTTCAGTCAATGATGAACCACATATACAATGGTGGTCCCATAAAATTAGTACCATATAGCCTAGGTGTGTAGTAGGCTATACCATCCAGGTTTGTGTATGGACAATCTATGATGTTTGCCCAACAACTAATTTGCATAATGACACATTTCTTAGGTATCCCTGTCGTTAAGTGACACATGACTGTATCTAATAACAGAAACTTGTGTCCAGAATATACAAAGAAATCTTACAACTCACCAACAAAAACACAAATAACCCAATTTAAAATGAGGAAAGGATCTGAATAAACATACAAATGGTCAATAAAGCACATAACAAGGTGTTCAACATCATTAATCATTAGAGAAATGCAAATCAAAACCACACTGAGATATCACTTCATACTCACTAGGATGTCTAAAATAAAAAAGACAGACAATAACATTTGTTGGTGAGGATATAGAGAAATTAGAAACCTCATACACTGCTGGTGGGATTGTAAAATGGTACAGCAGCTTTGGAAAAGAGTTTGGTAGCTCCTCAAAATGTTAAACAGAGTCACCATCTGACCTAGCAATTCCACTTCTAGGTATATGCCCAAGAGAAAGGAAAAGATATATCCACACAAAACGTTGTATGTGAATGTTCATAGTAGCATTATTCATAATAGTTCCAAAATGGAAACAATGCAAATATCCATCAACTATTGAATGGATAAACAAAATGTGGTATACCCATACAATGGAATATTAGTCAGCAATGAAAAAGAATAAAGTACTGATCTATGCTACAAGATGCATAAACCTTGAAAACACTGTTAAGTGAAAAAAAGACAAATACAAAAGGCCACATATTGTATGATCCTATTTATATAAAAAGTCCAGAACAGGCAAATCCATAGAGACAGAAAATAAATTAGTAGTTGCCAAGGGCAGGGAAAAGAAAGGAATGGAAAGTGACTGCTAATGGGCATAGGGTTTCTTTTTGGGGTCATGAAAATGTTCTAAAATTAGATAGTGGTGATGGTTGCACAACTTTGTGAATGTACTAAGAATCACAGAATTGTATGCTTTAAAAGGGTGAATTTCCTGGTATGTGAATTATACCTCAATAAAGATTTATAAAAAGTAGACTAAGAAATCAAACTGGGAAGAAGTCAATAGATGTGATTACTTGAGAAGTAAAAGACTTGTTACATTAAAAACATGATAAACTATATGAACGGGGAAGATTTGCAACACACACCATATTTCACGGAATTAAAGATGCCGCTGATTGTACCATTAATTTATAAGCTACTAAGAAAGAAAAAATCCCCAAGATGGGGAGCCTCCTGGAGGAGCCTCACGAAAGCTGGGACACCAAGGGCTACATCCTCCCTAAACCTACTAGGGGCTGGAAGGAAAAGTGGAAAATTCATGTTTTTCAACCTTGGCACAGGGTGAAGGCAGGCAGAAAAATCTTCCCTGAAAATTTAAACCACAAGTTGGTATTCACACTGGCTTGCAGTTTGAATAAATATTATCTTATGGCTCATCTTAGCCAAAAAGAATCCTTAGAGAATTTAGTTTATAGTGGTCTCAAGTGGAGAGTGATTTTAAGATACTACTGAGAAAGCAAAATGTAAAATAAAAGTTTTGCTTAGAATGAAATAAAGTTGAAAAGGTACTGACACCTTTAATATGTAGTCTTCATATAAATCATTTGGAAGAATAATAAACACCCAAAATAAAAGGGCAAATATTATGAAGCTCAATTCTCAAAGGAATTAGAAATGGGTAATAAAAATGAATAATGGTTGAACCTCACCAGTACTCAAGAAATGCAAAATAAAACAGTCAGATAACATTTTTTACTTATCAGAGTAGCATAATTTTAGAAGAATAATGGCTAAGAGCTAGAAGAATATAGACTCTCGTGGAAGTCTACAACAACAATCTTCCTGTGAAGCTATGGGCATTTTCAGCCCATAGTACTCCTTCTTGGAATCTCTCCTAAAAAATAATCATAAGTTTGGACACAACTTTATCTGAAATGATGTTCATAAAAACATTAGTTAGAAAAAGGAGAAGCAATATAAATGCCCAATACTGAAAGAATAAATAGATTATGGCACATCCATATAATTTTAATGTTGTATTGCAATTTTAAATGATGTCTTTGTAGAATACACAATGATCTAGGAAACTATTCATGTTATAATATTATGCAAAAAGTAGAGGACATATACATAGGATTGTACACCATTATGCTACCAGTTTCATACAAATACACAAAGCACAGAGATAAAGACTAGTCAGAAGTATATCAAATAGTAGTCGTGGATATCTCTGGGTTGTGGGATTTCAAGTAATTTTCGTTTTTTTCTTTGCATCTCTCTGTATTTTCTAAAATTTTTACATTGAAAGTGTTTTACTCTCAGAAAAACTAACTCAAATAGAGTCAAGACTTAAATTTAAGACCTGAAACCATAAAACTCCTAGGAGAAAACAGGGAAAAATTTCCTTGACATTGGTCTTGGCAATGATTTTTTGGATATGACACCAAAATCACAAGCAACAAAAGCAAAAACAAACAAGTGGGACTCTATCGAACTCAAAAGCTTCTGCACAAAAGAAACAATCAACCAAATGAAGAGGCAACCTACTGAATGGGAGAAAATATTTGCAAACCATATATTCCTTAAGGGGTTAATATCCAAAATATATAAGGAACTCCTACAACTCAATGACAAAAAACAATATGATTAAAAAATAGGCAAAGAACCTGAACAGACATTTTTCCAAAGAAGACATACAAATGGTCAACAGGTACAGGAAAAGATGCTCAACATCACTAATCATCAGGGAAATGCAAATCAAAACTACAATTAGGTATCACTTCACACCTGTCAGAATGCGTATTATCAAGTAGATAAGAGATAAATGTGGGTGAGGATGTGGAGAAAAGGGAACCCTTGTGCACTGTTAGTGGGAGTGTAAATTGGTGCAGCCACCATGGAAAACAGTATGGAGGTTCCTCAAAAAATTAAAAATAGAACTACCACATGATCTAGCAATCCCACTTCTGAGTACATATCTAAAGGAAATGAAATCACTACTTCAAAGAGATACCTGCATCCCCATGCTCACTGCAGCATTATTCACAATAGCCAAGGCACGGAAACTACCAAATGTCCCCTGATAGACGAATGGATAAGGAGAAGGTAGTGTGTGGTATACACACACACACACACACACACAATGAAATATTATTTAGCCATTCAAAAAGGGAAATCCTGCCATTTGCAACAACATGGATGAACCTTGAGGGCATTATGCTAAGTGAAATAAGACCGATGGAGAAAGACGACTACTATACGATCTCACAGGTGGAACCTAAAAAAGTCGAATTCATAGAAACAGAGAGTAGAAGAGGGGTTACTGGGGGCTAGGGGCTGGGGGAAATGGGGAGATGTTGGTCAAAGGGTACAAACTTCCAGTTGTAAGATGAATAAGTTCTGGGGATCTCATGCTATACAACATGGTGACTGTAGTTAACAATACTGTATTACATACTGGAAAGCGCTAAGAGAGTAGATCTTAAATGTTCTCACCACGCGCACACACACACACACACACACAATATCTGTAATTACATTAAGTGATGGATGTGTTAAGTAACCTAACTGTGATAATCATTTCACAATATATACATGCATCAAATCAACACATTATACACCGTGAACTTACGCAGTTATATGTCAATTATATCTCAATAAAGTTGGAAAAACTAAAATAAAAACCCTTAAAAAAAGAAAGTGTTTTACTTTCATTAACAGAAAACTTCAATAAATATTACAAGAAAAATTTGTCTCATATAAATATAAAATACAAACATTCTACTTTTTCAGGGTTTTTTTTGTGTGGCTAATGTCATTTTTTGGGTGATGAAATTGGACCACAGAGTAGCTAAATGATAACATATGTAACAATAGGGTTATTTTCTCCTTTTCACAGTTTACTACATAATACATATTTATTATAGAAAATCTAATAAATATTGATGTAAAGGAAAATAAAATCCCACATAATCTCCTGATTCAGAAGAACCATTGTTAGCTTGGGTTTTAGTTTCCTCTTATTTTTCTAGTTCCTCAAAGTTTAAAGTTAGGAATTGATTTGAGATCTTTCTTCTTTTTAAATGAAGGTGTTTACAACTATAAATTTCCCTCTGACCACTGCTTTCTCAGCATCCCATAAGTTTTTGGCACATGCCTTTTTGTTTTCACTCATCTCCAAGTTTTATCTAATTTTCCTGTGCTTTCTTCTTTGACCCATTGGTAGTTTAAGAGTGTGCTGTTAAATTTTCACATATTTGTGAATTTTCAGTGTTCACTCTTCATTGATTCATTCCACTGTGATTGAAAAAGATGCTTTGTATGATTTCAGTCTTTTAAAATTTATTGAGACCTGTTTTGTGGCCTAACATATGGTCTATCCTGGAGAAAAACCACTCTTCACAGTTTCACATGTCCCATTAAAATTTGTCCTGCAACTAGGTATGCAAACCAATAACTATATATATATGTGAATAAATCTATAAGGACTAAACGTACCTTCAACACACCATTTTTATTGGTTGCATACTATTCCGTTATTTGATAGTATCATTTTACGTCAATAGATTATATGATTGGACATTTAGCAGTTTCCAATGTTTTTCACCACAAAATAGGACTCTAATGATTATGGCATCCATAAATACCTGACTGAGATATGTAACCATAATTACTAAGTGATTACTGTTACAGGGAGATAAAGAGCTCCAACTCTTCCAATAAAAATCTTGCAAAAATACACATAGTGAAGTCAGTGAGCAAGCGCTAAAAGTAAAAAACTTTCATAAGAATCTTACCTTGAATTTTCTTGAAAACTCTGGAATTCATAAACTTTAGAAATCTGTCTGCATAGAAGCTTGGTCTATGAACCGAAACAGTGTCCTGAAAAGACAAATCAAGTGTCATGGGTTTACCTCTCAGATATTTCATTTCGAGCTAGAAGAAAGATCCACTCAATTGGTTCTCTCTTGGCCAATGTCCTTAACTAGAGGGCGTGGATGTCGAGAGCTGGAAAAGAGCAACACCCAGGGTCTCACAGGGCCCAGGAGTCGGGTTAGGGGAGGAGGGCAAAAGACTCAATCGGAGCAAAGATTCTAGACACTCAGAATGAAATAGAATATTAAAAGGGGCAGGGGAGAGACAGCAAAAAGACTCTGCTTTATCAATCAGAACAGTGGATCCTTAGTCCACTGTGTGCCATGAGGCACACACACATCATTTTTACAGACAGGCAACCAGTGCCCCGAGTGTCATCAGGAAGGAAGGAGGACACTTTTAGTCATAACCAAAAATTGGGGGCATGAACAAGCAAAACAACACTAATGTGAGAGTGACATCTAGGTCAAAAAAAGAAGTGTGCTGGTTTCATCTCCCAGTAACAAGGTGCCTTGACACTGGGAAGATTCTAGCAGACAAGGTTGACTGATGACCCCTGTTATGCTGAATTATTATTAATTAGATACTATATTAGATACTATAAAGTGTCTATAGTGGGTTTGGAAGAAAAAACACGCCTTTGACCAGAGGTCTGGAGACCTGGTTCTGGTGTTAGTTCTGACTTTAAAAAGCTGTGTGATCCCAGGGAAGAGACAGTGTCTCGTTGCCTCAGTGTTTTCACCGATGAAACACGGTGTTACACGAGGCATAAGGTGATTCTGTAATCAGCATGTTATGAAGGACACACTACGGAAGACCCTCCTTAGCCACGTTACAATGGTCCTCTAGACTACCAGTGATGCTGTAGATGGGTGGGAGATTTCCCACTGGTTTGACATGCACTCTCCCCAGTATCCTGGCAGCTCCTGTCTGAAGCGGACACATATTCACAGCAAGTACAGTAATTTAGAAATATCATAGGATGCAAGATGATTAAGACTCAGCTCTTGCCTTCCAAGAGAAGTTAGATTATGGTTCTCTTCAGTATGAATAAACATTGTTTAAATAAGAGGCACATTAGAAAACAAACAAAAATAAGAATTATTGCTTACAATTTCACAAATACATAATCTGCACAGAGATTTTCCTAAAAAAAACCAACACCAAAAAACAGAAGATATGTTTTAACTAGAGAAAAGTAGGGGCCCCTTAGAAGCATCTGATCAATAGAACACTAGGCCATTCAGATCAGAAACCTTATCTGGTAACAGGGAATTGAAGTTGTCTCAGAAAACAGGAGGGGAACACAACAAAGTGTTTACTCTCTCTCCCTTCCATGTTCAAGGCATTACGTAGTCCCTAACTTTTCTTAGCAGGAAGGGAAAAAATTAACCACCATCTTGGCCTTTCATAGAAGGAATCTTTAATCTGAAAAATAAGCCTAAGTTTACTTCTTAGGAAAAAATTTGTGAACCTCTTGTTTAAAAGAGCATTTTGACAGAGGTCATTCCTTAGCCTGTGGACCAAATGCAGATCTTTTATCGCTGAAAGGTTATGACCGTTCTTCCACAGAACTGAGAAAGTAGCATCTATAATTTATCCTCTTTCAAAGGAAAGCTTCTGCTAACATCTTAAAAAGACGTGTAAGCAAATCTTTGACCAATATATTCTTTGGAAGTGTCACTTCAAGTTGTTAATTGAGGGAGGCTGAGGCCAGTAAACGTTCTGTCAGCAGCAGGAGGTTTACGTCTAACATCTACATGGGAATGCGTACATGCGCATGCGTGTGTGCGTGTGCGTGCGTGCGTGTGTGTGTGTGTGGTAGACAGAGAGAGATAGAGATAGAGAGAGACAAAGAGAGACTGCTCTTTGTAACTGACTTTTTTCTTCTGTTATGCTGATTCTGGGTCCAAAAGACATCCCTCATATCAGTCAGCATTAGTCATGTATAAATCTGTAACAAGAAAGTTTCTGCTTCCTACATGCTGTTATATGTAAGGCATGGCGTAGAACAATAATGTGCATTATTTTATTCAATCCTCACATCAGCCCTATGAGGCAGGTACTAGGAACTATTACTATACCCCCGGTACAAATGGGAAACCAGGCTGAGAGAGGTCAAATAACAAGCAATGTGTGCAGGTCACATGGCTAGTAAAGTAGTGATGAGGATTCAAATCCAGGGCTGTCTGCCGTCAAGTCTGGTTCAAACCCCTCTGCAGCTTGGTCTAATGATAACTTTATTTCAGCTGTCCTCTGATCTTTCCAGCGCCTATCAAAAGAGTCTCCTCATTTTTCTCATCATCCTCTCATAACTTGGCTCTTCAGATGTCATGCAGAAACAAGACCTCATCTTGTTTTCCTGGCCTCTATCTAGCCACCAGGCTGGATGTTCTCTATTTGAATAGCTATTCAAGTTTATGCTGTCCTTGTTCTTAGATTGGAACCAATCTGCTAGGCTAAGATTCTAAGGTTATAAAGATCTATACTTCTTCGCCTCTTCAAATCTAGTGACACAGCTTCTCAGACACCCTCTGAAGTCTCTTAGAAATGAGAAATATATACAGCTTAACAAGGAACATAAGTCACTTACCCCATCATAAACCAGTGCTTTCCAGGAATGTTCTAACTTCTTCATTAATCTAAATATAGACAGAAAAATAAAAATTAGAATGTAAAATCACCCCCATTTGGTGAATTTTCCAAACCCTTTGTTGATTTATTTTGAAATAACAAAAAATTGTTTCCCCAAATTTCTTACCTATATGATTGCAGAATGTCAATAATGCCCATAAATAAAAGTAGTTTTTCTCCCTTATGGCTTTTAGCTGGAATACCTCCCATTCTGTTGATAGAGAAAAAGCAAAAATATTTTATAAGAAAAGGAAGTTAAAAGTCATTTCTAATAAATGGACTATAAGTGAAAATAGACAATCTTTAAGAATTCTGGACTATCTCTCCATCACTTTTTTTTTTGGCCTCAGTTAAAGTCTCCCTGGAAATCCAAATGATGTACTTCCCACAAAGGAGTATAATACCATAGCTGTCAACTGTGAAGAGTTGGATGGGAAGAAGCCGATTAAAAAATTATTCCTATTTTGAAACGATGAGCAAGAATTTTTAAAGTATTTTAAATACTGTTTTTTAAAAAAATGCAACACTTTTATATATTCACTATGAGATTTTAAAGTATAGAAAAGCACAAAGAAAAAATATATAAAGAATCCATTCCTAGGATGCAAAGACAAATACTATACTAAAATTTGGTACACCTTTCCAGTATGTGTGTGTGTGTGTCTGTGTGTGCATGCGTGTGCATGTGCATATATTCACTAATCCACAAAAGTGATTATTTATGTTTCATAACCTGAATTTTTCACTCGCTAAATGATGAACATTTCCTCAACGTCAATGCTTACGTGTTTTTTGTATAGAAATGAAGGCTGGCTTAATGAATTTTAGCACCAGGTAGGAATCTATTCCTAAAGAGCCACTATGAGGGGAACATGATTGTGTTTAATTACCCAATGATATCGGCTGCCAGAATCAAGAGGATGAAGCGAGCAGGTGGCTGCACTTACGTTTCCGGGTTCTCTGTGATGATCCCATCTCCAGATTTCCCTGGACCCTGGATAGATTCCATTGCTGTTGAGTAGAGGACCTTCTGCATCCCAGGCCGCTTAGCATCAGGCACATTTTGTGAGGTTTCCTCTTCTTTGTCTTTAAGGGAATGGTCCAAGATGTGGATTCCCAGCAAAAGGCTATAGTCCATGATCTTGAAGCTTTCCAGGACCTGAGTAAGCAAAAGAACCAGGAGGCCGGTCAACTCAAATGGCTTGTAAGTCTCATTTGCACAGAATCAGAGAGCTCTAGATTTGCAGACACGCTTCCTGCGCCTTTCCCAGAGGGTAGCTGATAGAGGAAAAGTCAAAATAAAAACATCTGAGGTTATTATTAGGTCATGTGCAGTAAGGATTACCACAATGGCTCCAAGATGATATTTTATGCAAATTTAATGTAAGCATATCTTTTCTTAACCCTCCATGACAGTTTCACTAATAGTATTTATTGAACACTTTCCAAGTGCTTAGTGGCTCACTTGGATTCAAGCCTCACAACTCTTTGAGCTAGGTACTATTGTTGTCCCTATATTATAGATGAACAAAATTGAGACACAGAGAGATAAAGCAATTTACTCAATATCACACAGCTTGTAAGTGGCATTGCTGGGATTTGAACCCAGGTAGTCAACTCCAGCATCCACGCCCTTAAGCACTGGAAGAGAGAAACCAACAAACCAATGATCTCTACAAGCTTGTACCTTCTTCAGCACAAAGACTCAGCTGGAATGTGTTTCTGTCTGGATTCTGTTCTCAAAATCTTAATCTTGTTGGAGTTCAGGGATCTCCTATTCAAAGTTTGTCTTTCAAAGTTGCTATTTTGTTCTCTGTAGCAAGTCTTTTTAAAAATTATGATCTTGACAGAGAGCAGGGCTTAATGCTTAATTGTCGACTCATCAAACAGTAGGAAAGAGAAGGCATTAAAAGCAGCTGGATGTAGCCAAAGAAGTTAGCGACGCTCTGACAAGAAAATAACAGGAGATAAGGTCAAGATAAGAGGCAGTCGACATGGGTTCCCAGTGGAGGAGGGACTTTGACACTCAGGACCCTTCTTTGATGGAGGAAGAGTGCTTGAAAATGGGGTATTTTCCTCTATGATAAAGCTCTTTTCCTAGTAGTTTGTATATATTCTCCTCTACAACAGATATTTTAATGCCTGGCATTTCTCACACAAAGCTGCTCAGGAAATCAAAACAGCGCAGCCCAGAAAGTAAGACAATCCTGCACGGCAGACAGCTGCTTCTGAAACAACATGATAATCTGTTACTATACCCTAGTTAGGAAATGCCTTTGAGGATCAGAGTCTATAGATAATTGTTTCATCAGGGATTGAATATCCAGAATTTCGTATGCTTCTCATTCTCCCTGAGCCAACTGCTTTTTGATCAGACACTTATGATGTACTAAAGAGAGGTCAGGCCTGAGGATTCAAGTATCTGTGGCTGCCGCTTCATGGACGTCCTTTGACAGCAGGCTTTGGGAAGGACGGCATACGTAGCCTTTGAAAATATGTTTCCACCCGTGTCTACATTATGCACATTTGCATAGATGAGGAAAAGTGAGAGTGGGCTGCAGATAAGTATCAGTTATTCCAGAGTGTTCATGTTCATCTTTCAACATACGAAGCTGAGTACTTCCAGAAAGGAGGCAGGCAAGAAAGGAGAGTGGAATTATTATTTAAGAAGTTTAGGCAATGGAACTTTCTACCTCAAGAGGTCAGAGAGTGGCTCGATAGCAACAGGGAGCCAGCTTCCCTAACCTAAGGAGGGAAGCCAAGATTGGAGGAGGAAGGAAGGGTGATAAGAAAAGCTCCTCACCACTGACCCAATGCTCCAGCACCAGACCCACTGGTTGGTTCTCCATGGAGGTGTATCAACGCCTTACTTCCAACGTGGAAGAAAACAAGACAGTTCTGTGTCAGGGTCGCCACGGACCCAGCCTCTTAAAAGAAAACACTAACAGATACTGGATGCTTTCTTCAGACAGAAAGAGAGATAGAAGGATCTCAGCCTGTCTAATTCTCTATCACACACAAAGGACGGCTTGGAAGTAGTGGCCACCAGCGAGCTTCATGAACCCAGCACAGTGATCTGCATCTGCAGATGCCAGTTTTCCTACTCACATTTACCTGTGCTAGTGCTTCCTTTCTTAGAGAGACTCTTAGCTGGGGACGTGCAGGATAGAGCACCGACTCCGTGACCTTAGGCAGGTCATATCACCTCCCGATATCTCACTTTCCTTCTCAATAAAATGGTGACAATAATATTACCTGCTGCATAGGGAGCTCATGAAAATTAAATACAGTAATGCAGGTGAATTGCCTAGAAAAATTCCTGGTGCAGAGAAAGTGTTCAATTACTTGCCAGCTATCATCATCGTGATTATAATTCATGGTGACTCATTGCTCACATGTGTGCGAGAGACTATAGGAGTCAGCTTGAAGTAACCACCTGTAGAGTTACACTTCTGAAAATAAAAATTCATAAAAAGCCAACAAAAATATGACTGCATTTCTAGCCTGCTTATCAGTGCCCTTTTGGCAAGTCCTGACTCCTTTAAAAGTTCTGGGTTGGTGGGTACCCAGTAGTATTGCTTGGATGTTCAACAGGAAAATGTTGGCTGACACAGCAATTCTGGTCAATGGGCTATCAAATGATGGCCCCATGATCTGTCTGTGGGAACAGTCCCATTTCCACTGGGCAAAAATCACAGCCTTGTGCTCTGCACAGCCCAGACTACCCACTGGTAAATGTTCCCTCCAAACAGTGAAGTGGCTTCCAAAGCAAATTCTAATCAGACCCTGTGACAACGTTGTGACTGTTCCTAATGGGCATGGAGAGTGGTAAAGATTGAAAGGCACTCCTGGATACCATCATATTTAGTTCACATTTCTCTGCAAAGTTTCCACCAATTAATTCTGCTTGTTAAAAAGCTTTCTTTGTAAAACAATTTTTATTATATTTTTAATGCACTATTCAACCTAAACTGTTCCATTTGTAGATGCAAAGTCTTTTCCTGCTCAAGGACAGGCCAAGGAGAGCACATGTATTTCATAAGTGATAGGAGGTCAGGCTGTGGTCCAACTTTAACTGTTAGATAAAGTGAGAAACTATCTCAATGCTTTAAGTGGTCAAATATTAGTCCTTGTTTACTTAAAGCCAACAACCTCAAGAGAGAATAAAGAAAAATCTACAAATAAATCTTAAAAAGAGATTCATTTTCTCTGTATTTTTAAATTGGATTGTCAGCATCCCTGAATGATGCTGGATTGTCCTCAGGAGCCTAGGCTCCTACTTTCAGAATGAAAGGCTTAAAAAAGATAAATTCTATTCCCATTGTATGGAAAGTTGAGCATGATAGTTGGAATGTGGGTTAGGGAAAGTCACCATCCATAAAAAAATGTCAAGGAAGGAAAAGATAAATATATAGGCATACATTTTAAACCAAATTCCAAAACTTCTGTCATGAAAAATTCTGGGAACAGATTTTAGTCATGTGCATTGCAGATCTGCATCAATTAGGAACAAAATAATTCGGCTATTCATATCCTCCCAGTTCTTTAAAGGAATCAATAAATCTGCTAAAATCTTAACACGTGTGAGCACTGAGAGTGTGCAACATTCTGCAACATAACAGACACCAATCAGTCTAGCCTGTCACTCGGGCGCACATTTTTTTCCAGAATGTCTGCCTGACCCGGCTGTTGCTGGTGGATCCTGTATCTGTGCATTTGCTATGCAAAACGCACGCTGCAATGCAAACACAGGTGCTTTTCTATCTAGCTGGGCAAGACTTCATTTTCCCACTTGTAAAAAAAGAAAGCAGGAATGATTCACAGACATATGTAAAACTGAAAGCAAGTAGGAATACCACAACGCTTTTTCCTGTCAAAGCCAGATTATTTTTTCTCTTCTCTCTCAAGGACTATATTTAGTCAATAATAATATTGGAATGTAGTAAAAAAGTCAATGTCAAAGCAGCTGGGACAATATCTTGAAGACAGGATCAAAACTATCTGTTCCTGAAATGAAAGCATATTCTGCAGGCTCGCATGGCCATGATGCATCAGGAAAGCACTTATTCCATACCCTTTCTGCAGATTTGGTGACCTAACCTGGGAGATATCCCAACTCAGAATGATAGGCACTGATACCCTCTCTTCATGGCCAAGGGTCATAATGAGTGGCCAGTCCTCCTTTTCCTTTTCTATTTTCTCTCCATACTCCTTATCCCAGTGCACACTGTTTTCTGCCCCACTGCTAGAAGGAGATGGAGTGGCTGCATGGTGGTTATGACTCCATGCTCTGGCGCCAGGTGGCCTGGTTTAACTCACGGCTCCCCCATTTGATTGTCCTTGGGCAGAGTATGTAACCTTTCTGGGCCCTGTACTCCTATCTGTAAAATAGAGATAATAGGGACACCTATCTCACAGAGTTACTAAGAAGATTGAGTTAATCCACATCAAGTCTTAGGACAGACAGTAACTGGCATACAGAAAGCACCCAATAAATGTTAGCTATTCTTACTGTTGTTGACACTCCCCCACCTGTAGAATCAGTCACTGCTTACCACCCCCCGGAATCTCCACCCGCCCTCAGCTACTGTGTCCTGCCTCCTCTTGGTTCTTTGCCTTCCTATTTGTTTTTCCTTCTGTGCCCTAAAGATGTTCACCAAAGTTCTCTCTTCAACTCTTTTCTTTCTTCCCAATAGTGACATTCATTAACTATCCTTGTTGGGGAAAAGAAAATCGAGTGCCTAGTCTGCTCCAGATCATCAGAGGGAAGTAAAACAGACAAGAATGCCGTCCTCAAAGTTACATGAGCCTGGGGCCGGCCCCATGACCGAGTGGTTAAGTTGGCAAGTTGTGCTTCGGTGGCCTGGGGTTTCGCCGGTTCGGGTCCTGGGCGTGGACATGGCACCGCTCATCAGGTCATGTTGAGGCGGCGTGCCACATGCCACAACTAGAAGGACCCACAACTAGAATATACAACTATGTACGGGGGGAATTTGGGGAGAAAAAGCAGGGGAAAAAAAAAAGAATAAGGCCTGGAAGGAAAAATCAGGGTGCCATGGAGATACCCCACATAATGGATACCTACTATTTCAATAGTGCAGGTAAGATATGATGACACTTGAAGGAGGTGGCAGCAGGGGAGCTTGAAGGAGATGTGGA